GGTGTCTGTGTACAGACTGTCATGGGGATACAGCTCTCTAGGGACTCTTGTGTTCCCAGAGCTGGGGGTCTGTGTGGGGCTCCTTCTCGGAGAGACCTCGGCAGCCCTGAGTTCCAGTGGGGGGTGAGGATCCGGGCTCTGCCTTCCAAACCCCATGGGCAGGTGGGCGTGAGACCCCAGTCCCCTGCAGCCCTGCTCATCCTGCCAGGAGACAAAATGGGGGACCTCGGGGGGTGAGACCACTTTCAGGTTCCAGGTGTCCCTGCTGTCTCTAAGCCTACCACCAATCAGCGAGCTGGCTACAAAGCAGGACTGGGAAAGAAGGTGAGAAGAGCCAGGCATTTCATGAGGAAAGGAAAAGCTTTTCTCGGTCTGGTCTCGCCTACCAGCTCCTATATCCATGATCTCATCTCCAAGACCTGAGGTGTTAATAGCCCATAATTACTTAATCACCCCAGCTCTTGCTGTCAGCTTTAGGTGCCAGATAAACATGTTGTTTATTAAGGGGAGAGCTTAAATTCGCAGAAAACCTGAAACGGTTAGGAGAATTTCTTAACAGTGATTCCTGTTTCACAATTGAATTCACATGAAAGGATGAAAATGTGCTGAAATACTATTAGAAGCTAAACTAATCGAAAAGGGTTTCTGTGTCTTGAGAAACTCCAGCTTAAACATTTATATTTCAGCCCAAGTCTTCGTCTTTGTGCTGTCAGCCACCATGTGTCCCATTCTGGCCATTCCTGGCGGGACTAGGGGCACTTGGCACTGCTGACCTTTGGTCATGGGGAGACACTTTTGCCGTGACTGCGGGTGCACCATCTGGCGGCAGGACAGGAAGATCCTTAGGGCAGGGGAGGTCAGAAAGGGAGCAGGAGTGAGTGCAGATAGAACCAAGTGTGCCAAGTGAAGAGGCCATGGTGATGTCAATTAGCTGGGCATTGTGGCATGCACCTGTAGTCCCAGCTACTCAGGAGGCTGAGGCGGGAGGATCACCTGAGTCCAGCAGATGGCGGCTGCAATGAGTTCTGATCGCCCGCGGGAGAGGGCATGTGAACGGGAACCTGGAAGCTCAGGGCGGTGGCCAGGAGAGGCGGCCAAGCCAAGGGGGTCATGACCACCATGGAAGTTTGATCCTCTCAAGTGCACCTCAAAAAGTCTAAAGGGGGGGGCACAACAGAGACCTGCCCCTCCACACCATTATGAATAGGAAGTGTGAACAGAGAGAAAATCACTGAATGGAATATATTTCAAATCCTGCAATGTACCTTACAGTTGGAATGTGATTCTGAGGTTTTGGCTAAAAAGTCACTGGATACAAAATACAAATACAAAATACAAATACAGAGAAATACCCAAAAAAGACAAAGAAGGAAGAAATATGCTTTTAGATAAAAAAAGAAAAAAAGAAAACCACAAGGAGTGAACACACAAAGCAACCATGTCGCCCCACAGTACCCACCTTGGAGCGGGGTCTGGAAGCCTTTCATGTTCTGGTCCAGGAGCTGCGAGGGCAGGAAGCTCGAGCCCGGCTGGGGCCTGAGGTCCGGCTCACCCAGGGCCGCGGTCAGTGCTGGCTCCTTCGGCTGGCTGTCCCCGAAGACAGCGGCCCACTCCCGGCTGAACTCGCCCTCATCCAGGGAGGAGGCGCTGAAGATCTCACTCAGCAGCAGCAGGTCATCTCTGTCGGTGCCTTCTGGTTCCAGGGTCCCTGCTGGACCCAGACAAGCTAAGAGAGGTCAAGAGCAGGAAGCATCAGGACAAGTGCACTGGGAGCTGGGATGGGTTGCACTTGGTGACGGCTAGTTTTTTGTTTGTTTGTTTGTTTGTTTTTGAGACAGGGTCTCACTCTGTGATTCAGGCTGGAGTGCAGTGGCATGATCATAGCTCACTGCAGCCTCAGACTTCTGGGCTCAAGCTGTCCTCCTGCCCCAGCCTCCTAAGTAGCTGGGACTACAGGTACGTGACAACAAACCTAGCTAATTTTTAAAAATTATTTTGTAGAAATGGGTTTTTTTCTATGTTGCCCAGGCTGGGCTTGAACTCCTGAGCTCAAGCGATCTTTCTGCCTTGATCTTCCAAAGCGTTGGAATTATAGGCGTAAGCCACCACATCCAGCTGCTTTTTTTTTTTTTTTAGGTTGGTAATAGAACATTTATTAAAATAAAGCTAGGGGTTCACAGAAACAGCAAAGAACCAAAGAATTAAAATGCAAGCTATGTAAAATCCCAACTACAACCCCAAAAGTTCTATAGTATGCATTTATTAGCTAACTAAAAGCCCCCAAAGACAAGACATCCCATATAACAAAGTATAGCAAAAGAGTTGGCAATTTTCAGTTGTTGAAACTGTAGATTTTGCATTTTGTATCCTTTTCTCATTCAGGAAAAATAATATTTTTGAATGTTATATAACATACATATTAAAAACAAGATTAAAAAATACTAACACTGGCTGTAAATATATTCTTACATGTTTCTCATAGGCAATAGGTTGGTTGTAATATGTACATGGCATGAAACTAAGATTTTAGACAAAAATACATGCTAGCTGTAGGTAACACACTAGTGATATGCTCATTTACTTACACTAAACAATTACATAATACTGTCTTCAAAGTTAATCATCTCCAAAGGTTAATCAAAATATAAATTCAGGTCAAGTGTGGTGGCTCACACCTGCAATCCCAGCCCTTCAGGAGGCTGAGATAGGAGGATTGCTTGAATTCAGGAGACAACATAGTGAAACCCTGTTTCTACAACCAAAAAAAAAAGAAAAAATTAGCTAGGCATGGTGGCGTGTGCCTGTAGTCTCAGCTACTTGGGAGGCTAAGGTGGAAGGATTGCCTGAGCCTAGGAGGTTGAGGTCGCAGTGAGCCATGATGGTACCACTACACTCCAGCCCGGGCAACAGAGTAAGACTCTGACTCAAAAAACTGAAACAAAAAATAAATTCATCCCATTCTAGCCTCTTTTAAGAGATTTCAGAACTCAATTTCTACTCCATGCTCCCTGACTCCTTCCTTCTAAAGCAAGTCTAGTTTCTGAGCATCAAACTCCAGGGTTTTGGCTTTTCCTTAAGAGAAAGCCAAATTGACCAAACATTCCTCAGACATGAAACAAAGACAAGACTGAGAGTGCATTGGAGATCTTACTTCCTTGTTGGCGTAGCTTCTTGACTTTTCTCACACAGGCCTCAGTCCACATCACCTGGGTTGGACAGCAGCTCCATGCCGCACCCTGTCCAGTCACCCAGGATGGGGAGACAGCCCTTACCACACCCTGGCCAGGGTGAGAGAGGAATGGAGGACGTGGGAAGCCCCACTGTGAATGAGAGAGGATTCCTGTTCCTTTCTCCCTTGCTGAAATGCCATCACATGAAGCAAAGAGAAGACAGGTCTGATTTGCCCGAGAGTAGCTGTGACAGAGTAACTGGAATATTGGACAATGCTAGGAGCACCCAGGGGTGAGCTCTGTAGGCCAGAGACAGCTGTAGGGTGCCAGAATGACACTAGACTGAAAGAGAAGCCTCCCATGGGGACCCCTTCCTTCTGGGTGACTTCAGCAAAATCCCCCACTCCCCCTGTCTCCGTCTTCTCATCTAGACAGTACAAAAGGTAATAACGCCCACCTCAGGGCATTTTCAGGGAGACCCAAAGAAACACAGCTCAGACCTAAGTGCCTGTCCAGACCAGAGAACTATCCTTACAACAGGAACATTGACAAAAGACCAAACACTGAGTACAGGCAGACCGGGAGCATGACTGGCAGAAATCCTACATCAAGGCCTTGCACTGAGCTTTCCACATGCTTTAAGACCTGATGGTTTTATTAATGGTGGCTGTCTCATTGCTGTGGGATCTCATTTGCCACTTGGAAACTACAAACATTTTTGTTGTTAAGTCACAAAGAGAAGACAGCATCATGGCATATTTTTCGAGCTGTGTTGTAATTCTGATACAGCCATATTAAGTGAGATTAGCAAGTTTTCCTCAAATATATAAGATCATTAGTACGTGGAGGCCTTTTTAACGAAAATTAGGCTTCTCTGTGTTGGTTTCGCTGGATCTATTTTCAAGCACACTTTACATAAAGATCAAAAGATGGGGATTTCTGAAGGGCTGAGCAGATAGGCTACAAATCGGGGGGAGGGCGGAGGTCTAGTCACTCCTGTGTCACTGGGGTTTAAAAACAGTGGTCACATACTGCTTTCACTGGACAACTGTCTGACTTCAACATTCTTATTGTTCATATTATCTCAGAAATGTTCACTGAGTCATAGCCTGTAGGTGTTGTGGGTAAGAAGGTGGGGAACAGCATTTACAACAGACTTCTGGGACTGGGCTGTAGTAACGGGAGCCAGGCACCACCCACACCTGTGTGTGGCTGCTAGGCAGGACTGGTGAGACCAGGTGGGAGGCCCACCTGGTGAATAAAGGCAGGGGCTGAGGAAGACCACCTCCATGGAGTCAGGACTTGCCTCTCAACATCCATTTCCCTGCATCCTCCCCCGCCACACCATTTCTCTCTCCCTCCCTCCCTGTCTCCTCTCTCTCTCTTCCCTTCTCTCCCTCTCTCCCTCTTTTCAATCTCTCTCTCTCTTTGTCCCTCCCTCCCACTCTTTCTCCCTTTCTCTCTTTCCCTCCCTCTCTCTCTCTTTCTCTGTCTCTCTCCCCCACCCATCTCTTTCTGGGGCATCACCCTTTTTATATATGTTAACTTCACAGGTCTTGCACTACCTACTTGCAGGGGGACAGGATGCCCCCACCTCTCCCCACCACCTTTCTAAGGATTGACTTTCTGGCCTGACTGAAACCAGATGATTGCTGAACCAGACCCGCTTCACTGGAACCAATTCAATTCAGTGTGCAGACCCCTGGCAGGCCAAGGACTCTCAATGTGCCTTGGAAATAACGTGTGTTCCTTCTAAGTCCCTTCCTATATTCTCTGCCAACACAAGCCCTCTAGATGTCTAGAGTCTCCCTGTTTTGCTCTAGACATCTGTCCAGGGATGACCACCTTTGACATCAGCAATAATAAACGGTATACTTGGAGTCTTCCAGAAAGAACCATGGACAGGATTTGTTTCTACTGTCTGGATTTTGTGGTGTGGTGCTGATGACACATGTCAGTGGTTTTTACTTGTGAACTTGACATACCTTCCCACAGTGGCTCCAGTGTTCTCTTTGGGGAAACGCCTTCTCCATGTGATCCTGGTGAGATACCCCTTGAGATGCCTCCTCCCCCCAGCCTGGGTGGATTTGAGACTGTGACTGGCCAGAGTCCTCCATCTCCCAGGTCATGATGACTGGCTCAGGGATGGGTGCGTGCCCGGGCATCCCTGAGTGTGGTCCACGGAGACTGGATGGACAAGAAGCTCTCTTTCTTTGGGTTTCCAAGTTCTGAAGCACTGGAGAGAGAATCCTGACAACACTGTCTAAGCCCCTGGGTCCAGCCTTGCTTGAAGCCAATCCATACCTGTGTGTTCCCAGTTATGTGGATTGGTACATTCTTTTTCTTTTAAAAAAAAGTTCAGCCTGAGCCATTTTGCACAGAGGTTCTCCATCACTTGCAAACAAAAGATTCCTGACTCATGTCATGCCCTATCACACTTCAACATTTTAGTGACAGAAAGGAGGAAAGGTCCCACGGTGAAGACATCATCCACTGCCAGTTCAGAATACAGACTTCTGCCTAAGCTGGGGACTACCATCGAACCTAGACTATTATTTAGCATCCTGGTTACTGAACAGTTAACAGGCTGCACAGTGAACATTCTCTCTCTCAAGACAACTTATTGCTTAGCTAAAAGCAACGAAACTGGCACCGACTTAAACCATAAAACACGGAAACCTCCCCATCATTGCCCTGATAATTAAGATGCTTGAAATGACTACACATGTAAGAAACCCTTAATTACAAGTAGCAGAGGACAGGTTTAGGTCTGTAACTAGACAAGCTGAGTCTTGAGCAATAACTCTAGTCCGTCGACTCTGGAGAGACAGGCTGCCATTTTCTTTGAAAACAATTCAACTGAGAGAAAATTGGGACACACGCAGAGAGGGGACCTGCACTTTGAAAGGAGCCCTGCAGGATCCATACAGCTGGGGTCAGAGCATCCACCCACACCCACAAATAAGGACTGCTGCTGAATTAGGGACCGCATCCTGCCTGTTTTAAGGATCAGCAAAGGCTGCTCCAAGCACAGGTGCCAACAGACACAGCGCCTGTGTCACAGCTTGCCGCTCTGTCCCCAACTCTGTGACCTTCCATGCAAGTCCCAGCAACAACCTATCCTCGCTTGGTAGGGCTGTCTGCCCTCCTCTCATCCTTCCAAGTCACTGACCTGGTTTCTTCTTTCTTTCTTTCTTTCTTCCTTCCTTCCTCCACAACTGCGCACTTCACTTTGGCTCCACTCTCTTCTCAACTGCCCGTAATTAAATTCCTGCTCATGCCCGACACTGAAGTGGCTTCTTGAAGGTTGCTGGGGAGATCCGCACAGCCCACACCAACACCCCTTGCTTGACCTCTGACATTTGCACTTTGGTCTGGTTCTGGAGATGAGGCTGTCATCTCCTGGGAGTTCCCAGGAGGTGGCTCTCTTGGAGAACCTCCCACCTCTTTGCTAGTACTTTCTCTGCTGACTCTTTCTACTCTGGTTGCCCTGAGGCTTCCTCCTAAGCCATCATGGCTCCCTTCCCTACATTTTCTGTAGGAGTCTTTCTCTTTC